TCAAATATACAACTTGGCACAATTGAGCTTTGTCTTGTTTTATAATTTTAAAAGTTTTTTTTTTCTAGAATACTATTTTTAAAAATTATTTACATTTTAATATTTCTACCTCATCTAGCTTTTTCTTCCTACATTTCAAGAACTACTTTTATGAGAAGAATCTAAGTTAAAAACTACTTAACTCCCTTGAAATTAGCTGCTCAGAAATTTGGGATGTGTGGGAAAATTAATTTTGATGTTTTCACGTTTCTACTTTGACTTTGGCATCTCTTTTCCCATTTTCATGTCCAATTATTTTGATTTGGGCATCATTTTTTTTATTATTTATTTATTGATTTATTTCTTTTCTTTTCTTTTAGTGTCCATAGCTTGGTGTTTTGTCGACATTCTTCTCCAAATATTTATTGTTATCATTATTGTTTTGATTGTTTATCTAGCAAGATTTCCCATTTCTCAAATTTGAACTCAAGAGTAATTTAATAATTTTGTCGAATAATTAGGAATTTAGTATGAGTTTCTATGTTATTTTTTTACATGGAATAAAGTGAAGTTTTTGTCTTTGTATTAATAAAATTTATTTCCATTTTTTATTTATTCAATTTTCTTTGTATTGCCCTTTTTTTTTCTCTTTTTATTTGGTTTTATTTGTCAAAATTATTATATTTAACGAAATATCAATGCTTGTAATAGAATATGATCAAATTCCAAATTTCTTATAATAAATCATCATCATTTTAGCCTTTTCCCAATTAATTGGGATCGGCTACATGAATCAGGGTTCTCCATTCTGCTCTATTAAAGGTCATATCCTAAATGAGGCCATAAGTCCCCATATCTTTTCGGACTACTTCCAACCACATCCTTTTGGACCTACCCCTTGCCCTTTTCAGTCCCTTCTTATTAGTTTTTAAACTCATGCGTACTTTACTATTGAAATAATTTGGAATCCCCTTCTTTATTACTTTTTACACTTATTTCAAGTTTCAAAAGAGTTATTATGCTTTTAAGAGTGGGCCATAACTAATTTTCAGAAGGTTTTTTTTTTTTTTGAAGGAATAATTTTCAGAAGTTTTAAACAAAAAAAACTTTATTATTAACTTTTTAAAATTCTAAATCACATTAACTTGTGTTTACTACTGGAAAATAGAACACCATACATGCAATCATATGTCACGCAATCATACATAATTCATGATTGCAATACTTAATTGCTAGCCACATTAAATATGGTAATTACCAACTCAAATATTTCGCAAAATTAAATTCAATTTTTGAAATCTCTAAAACAAATTATATATATTGGCTACAGAAATAGTAAACCAAAATTTGAATCTTTTGTATTGTAATCTTGAATTTTAAATGCTTTTTGAACTTCATTAATTATACTACTTTTTAAAAAAACTCGACATAAAAACTGTTTTTCGTTAAATTTTCTTGACTGAAGATGTTGTAAGACCAATTTTATAAATTTATCATTAACAAATTTTAAACTCCTCAATAGAGATTATGTTCACTTTTTGAAAAGAAAAAGAAATATGAACCCATAGTTTCGTCCATTTTTATATTTACTTAATTTACTTTATATGTATATGAGATTTAATGCTTCTAAATTATTTATAATAAATTTAGAATTTAAATAAAAGGAAATTTTATTAGGATTTAGTGATTCCTTAAATAAAATATGTTGTATTCACTACAAAAACGTTTTTATTTACAACCAAAAATGAAAAATGTTTTATGTTCTTAAACCCTAAAATTTTAGGAGTTTTTTAATTAGATACGACTAATTTCTCCATTTTTAATAACTTTTAAAAGCTGTTCTAGGAAAATTAATGTCAACATTTCATTAACTTTTCATTATTTAGGAATTAGTTTATAAGTAATTTTTATACTTTTTAATTGAATTACTAAATGCTTAAAATTTTAAGCTTAGTTTTTTACTAAAATAGGGAGTAAAAATTCATATGTTGAAGGATTATTAACACAAGATGACAAACTTCATTTAAGGTTTTGTACTTTAAAATGAGTTCTAGTTATTTTTTAGCTTTTTAATTATAATTTTTTAATATTTTAAAATTTTATGTCCATTTTGTTTTCCCTTTTGAATATTTTGAAATTAAACATATTTTTTTAAGATATGCAAGTAACTTCAAACTATATTATTAATTTCTATTTTTCTTTGAATATTTCTTCATTGTTCGATCTGCTGTAACAATTCTCAGTAAAACATATACAAATCTACTAGTATTTAAATTAAGCAATTAAAAAAATTTAAAGAAATTAAAATTTTATAAAAATTAAAAAAATCTGATCACTCTATAACAATTCAACTTCTAGTATTCTTTGAGTGTAGCTTATGACTTTATATAATCGTAATAACAATCACGGGGACTTGCGGCCTCACAGAGGGTATGGCTTTTAATAGAGCAGACTGACGGACCATGATTCATGTCGCCGACCTAAATAATTGGGAAAAAGCGATGATGACAATGACGATGAAAAACAATCATGGACATCTTTATTTGGTGAGAAAAAAGTATCGAAATAACTATTAATGTAGAGGCCAAGGTTCGAACTTCTGTTTTTTCTTTTGTTTTTTTTTTGAGGTACCCAAATTTCAAACTTGTGACCTATTAATAGAGGCCAAGAGGGATAGCATCGTCTGCCACCACTACAAATCATGTTTGAACAAAAGAATGCAGTTATAAAATACTTTAAAGTGCTAACTAATTATGTAAAATAGTTGTTAGCAGTAAGTTGGAGCCCAAGATTCAAACTCATGACTTGTGAAAGAGGTTGACAGGGGCAATAGAGTCCAACACCAAGGATATCTTGCTCCCACGTTGGTGGAACCTCGGTTCAGTTTACCTATAAACCCTCGGATACAATGCTAAGGAATCTGGATCCCCTATAAATCCTTGATAACTATTAGGAAGGATCGAGATCCCAAAGTTTAAAAATCGCAAAGGAGCAAGAACCCCCTCCTTGGTGTGCAAGAGAAAGCTTCCAGAGGGGGATCGACCCCTTGGTTTGGAGATCTCGGTAACAACGAGGCTATAACTATAAATTTGTCTTTAAGAAATGTCATTGCTATGTAATGTAGCTCCATGTTGGGGACACACATGGGGGAAAAGCTAAGCAACTGCAGAGGATGGCCCTTCGCATATTCAACCTAACTATTAGCTCATCTGAGTCAGTAATTTCGTAACTCGCATTGTCCTATAGATCCTCATAAGCCCTAACTTGTAGTATTTTCTCTAAATCATGCATTCATACATTATCCGACAAGTCCATACGAAAAAGAAAACATATTTGAGCAAAAGAAATTGAACAATCTTGTATATGTTCAGTATAATTAAAGGTTGAAGTGGCGATATCAAGAAGGTTATATATCAACTCCATTGCTCCAAGAAATATGGATGATTTTAATAAGTAGTTTGTCGATGCATGATAGGATCAGGTGTTCCTTGGAGAGAATTTAAACTGGCCAAGTTTGTGAGGCTGCAGGAGGCTCATCAAACCTTGTGCACTACCCTATATATTCAAAGAGTTTATTGACAATAGAAGAGGAGGTTTCCTCAAAGGAGACAGTGGAGGACGAGTGTTATGTTGAGAAGGGGGATGACTCTAATGATGATGGCTTGGCATCAAATGCAGCGTTTGTGATGATGCAAGTGGCGGTGATGCAACCTTGACAATCAATCTTGTTTCCAATTTGCAATTTGATTTCTTGTTTAGTTTGTTCAAACCTTCTAGGACTGGAGTGGGGCCTCACATGTCTTATGAGACCTGTCTTTGTTTTTTTTTTTTTGAGAAAAGGTACTTGTCTTAGTTTGTATAGTTTATTAATGCATAAGGCGTATTGCAGCATATGGCCCATGTGGACAATGCTGTATGACTGAATATTGTATTTTTTCAAGTTCAAATTCCAGGTCTGCACAAGTTTCTTCAACATCTATGATGATTCAAGTTCTTATGAGTAATGAATACACAATGTTCCTTAAACCATAGTTGTTAGAAGCCGGAATGGGTGAACGAGTGATTTAGGAATCGAAAGCAGGGAATCACGATAGGCTAGAAGATCCATATGGAAAGAAGCGTCGTCCTTGCAGTGCATGTCAAAGGGCTCAAGGTCCCAACCTTTTAGGAGTGCGCGCTTGCGCTCGCAACCACTAAGAAACAAGTTCCATATCACAACAGGTCGAGGTTCTAGAGTATTCTTAACCAAGAATCACTTAGCATTGGAATCACTGTATTGAATGCCCCTAATCAGGGTACCCCAATAGTATTGAAATCAGGGGCCCCAAGTGCCCATGACCAAGGTTTCCTAAGTATTTGAATCAAGGTTAACTAGAAGTTTTAAATACACCATCCTTCTTCATTGAATAAAAAGTACAATTTTTTATTAATGAAGACCATAAAATACTTCTCTTCTTTGTATCATTCTATGAACACATTTATGCAACGGGCATTCTATAACTCTAGAAGTTTGCATTTGAATCTCAAATCCTGTTATCAAAAGTTTGATCGAATGTTGATCTTACTATTTGGTGCACCTATGAAGCCTAAGGTTTGATGTTGTGGGGAGCGAGAATCCTAAGTTGAAAAAATGAGATTTATTGAAGATTCCTTGTCGAGAGTGTCAAGGAGATATTCCAAAGAGGAATCACCACCAGGCATGGAAGACTCCAATAACTATGAGGCTGACTTAATTTATCAATATCATGTATGTGCAACAAAAGAACACAACACACTAGTTTAAGTTTTTTTTTTTTTGGTTCAAATTAAGGGGGTTTGATACCAAACGCCCCATGACACCACTGAAGTCCAGCACATCAACACATTAATATAATGAACAAGAAAACTGCCATTCGAGTAGGCAACAAATATGACTATTTCCATTGACAGCCTGAATTCCTTCCATAAATAGATTGTAGCATAAAAGAAAGAGGTGCACCTCTCATGATCTAAAAAATAACGAACCTGGGAGACAGTCTTACCTCTGCAGGAACCATGGGTGCATTTACTGCAGTTGAAGCGAGCTCCCCTTTCAAGGCCCCAACAACAGCCTCAGCAATTTCAATGGCCACCCCTTCCTAAATAATTACGAAATGTGAATGTTTTAGAATTTAAAAAAAAAAATGAAAGAACAGGAAAACAGAGAAATAAAGCATGCAGAGTAGCAACAGATACCAACCTGAGCTTCAGCAGTGCTTGCACCAAGATGGGGTGTGACAATCACATTCTCATGCTGCACCAATTTGCTATCTTTGGGAGGGGGCTCCTCAGTGAACACATCAAGGGCTGCCTGATATTCAAAATCAAACATGAACAAGACGCTATTGAAAACTTGTCGTAGGTGTTAACTAAACTTTCCATCTATAAAAAGCAGGAAATAAACAAGACACCTGGGCAACAATGCCAGTATCGAGCGCCCTCAACAATGCTTCTTCATCAATGACACCACCACGAGCAACATTAACAATGCGTGTTCCTTTCTTCATCTTTGCAAATGTCTCATCATTCAGAATCTTTGATGTAGCAGGCGTGAGAGGCATATGGAGTGAAATGAAATCTGCTCTAGATATGGCCTCATCAAAGGTGACCAGCTCCACGCCAATGGCACGAGCACGATCAGCAGGAGCATATGGATCATGGGCAATAACATTCATTCCAAGCCCCTTGGCACGCCTTGCAACTTCTGTTCCAACCTTGCCAAACCCTAAAACAGCAAGTGTCTTTCCAACGAGAGAAACCCCTACATACTTGTTCCTTTGCCATTTTCCTGAACACCGGAGGCAGCAAACAAAACAGACAAGCTTCAGTCAAGTAATTGCTTCAAGTATACTCTGGAAGGATTCTTCCACTCCAGCACTCTGTATATCCAAAGTATTCTATTTTTCCAATTAATTAGTTCTCCAAGCACGTGTATGATTGTGTTGAAGCACTACATCACAAAGGAAAATGAAGAGATTGGATTACCTTTCAAGCAAGCTGGAAGAGCCTGGCATGATAATGAGCAGTACCACAGTATAGGACAAGGAAAATATCAATAATAATCACCTAAAATAATCCTGGTTTGATCACTGATGCCATAGACCAGCGGTGAAACACTTCTAGGAGTCTTTTATCTAACAAATGCCACTAAGATTGTTCCCCAATCCTTCCAATGACACAACCATAAAGAGCAATTGATGTTTCCATCCCCAACTAGCTAATGTATTGTGCTTTAGAACTACCATAGCTTTGAACTTAGTCACTTCAGCGTAACATCACCAAAACCAAAAAAATACATGTTCATTGATTCATATATCGAGAAGACCACTCTAAGTTGTCGAAAGTGGGAGAGGGAGTAGATGCGGGATCTGGAGCAAGATTAGGACCCTGAGATTGAAACAATATTAAAAAAAGCGGACCGCCCAGCGTCTAGGCAGTCCAGAAGGCCTGGGTGCATCGCCCAGGCCTAGGCGGCAGTCCCTGGGCAGGCTGCCTAGACGGTACGGAACCCGCCTAGGCGGGCGCCCAGCGCCAAGCCCTGAGCGCCTAGGCAGTATGGAACCTGTCTCAGCGGTCGCCCAAGGCCTACGCCCCGCCTAGGGGGGGGGGGGATTTTTTATTATTTTTCGTTGTTTTGATTTTGTTTTTAAATATAAAAGGTTTGAATGATGAGTTTTAGGTTCATTTCAAACCTAAACCCACAAGAAACCATTTTAGAGAGACATAAACGTCAAGAAAACTAAATTTTGTGACTTTCATTGGATCAAAGTATTGCTCAAAAATTACATAAAAAAGATCCAAACATCACCCAAGTAGATTTGATTTAGTTTTGAGTTTTATAATTCTATTAGACG